GAACAAAAGCTCATCTTTCAAACCGGCAGTCTAAATCCCACAGGGATCAATGAACGCTTTTCATTCCACTAATTTATTCATGTTTTTCTCGTTGCCATGCACCCACCAATAACGTAGCTCCATTTTCTGCCTTTAAAAGCACACACAACCCACAATTCCTCTATTCGCTCCGACGAAGGGCTAACGCTCGAAACGTCAGCTTTTGTAATCATTACGGTGGCCAATTTACCATTTCAACTTTGTTGATATATCCAAATTATTTCGTTACTCCCACCGACGCAGCCCCAAACAGTTTCTTTCGAAACTATCAGCCTTTATTCATTTAAATAAAAAGGAGACTATCATTTGAGTCTAAGTATAGAGCAGGCCTTCTTGATGAAAGTTGTGTCTTTCAGATCGAGGATCTAGTAGGGTACCTCAGACCTTATCATGTGTTCCCAAATGTACCACCTGCAGGACTGGATACCTTAGCGGACGCATTCGAAAGGTTAGCTAACTCCAAGTTAGGTTTGATGACTAAATGGTCGTAATAATGGTAATAATAGTGGTTTCCGTTATCAGTTTGGGTGAAGTGTGCTGTTTACTGCTGGTGTGTAGAAAGTTGCTTGAGTGGTTTTTCATTTTCCTGCAATTTGATTGTTTTCTTTAAACAAGCGATTGGCTGTTGTATTTTAGCAAAGCTTCCTCGTTGACTGGGAAAAAGAGATGCGATTTAGAGAGCCAATCAGATTACAGGGATCAGCAGTGATTTCACAATGGATGTGATAAAAGGAACAATAGCGTTTTTTATTCGACGACCTCACTAGCGCCAGTCTCTCGGTCAGTGGAAACGGGCGAAAAAATGGGGATGCGCTAAAAATGGCAGGGATCAGGCGAAGACATATTAGCAACGTTTTCTTGACAAACGCAACTGCCATTTACTGTTCGCTTTTCTCTCTCTTTCCACCACAGACTAAGGGCCTGGAACAAGCTCTACAATCTGCAATTTTACCTCCACTGCAAGAATTTTTTTTACCTATTCTAAATAAGGTTGCATTAATTAGAAATTTTTTTTTTTTTTTTTTTTTTTTTTTTTTTATAGACTGAAAGGCCTTACTCGCATTCAGGATTGTGAATCTTGTAACCAAGACGAGTCTGTGGAGGACGGATTCAGACAACACGCTGCTCATCTCAGCGGGGAGGGTGTCACTAAAGACAAACAGTCATTGGAGGAAAAAGCTGCCCTGGGAAAGATTCAGCTTTGTGCATCACCAAAGCCTAATGAGAGGGGTATGTAAAACTTCGCTCACGTTGGTCGATCTCTCCAGTATGTTGATCTGATGAATGAATGAATGAAGTTGTTCTCCGCCGAGCAGTAGGTTTCCAATTTATTTTGCCCTGCAGTTCTTTGTCTCACTCTATAGGCAGATTCATGCTGACCTCATTGTTTACATTTTTGCTCATTTGCATACGGCTTTGCGTAAAGAAGGAAGCACGTTAGATACAAATTGACTTCAGGCAGCTGAAGAGCTATGAAACCTCAGTACATGGTGACATTTTTAGCTCTTTGGGTGTAATATTCAAGGAGAAATAGTCCATTAAAAACTGCAAAATTTCTGGGTCGCAAAAGCGCTAATGAGCTCATACATTCTATGTAAAATTTTGAGTTTTTAAACCCGTGTTGCACAAAAAGTATCCAATGCATCAAGCTCGTATTCATTGGCCGAGTTAATCGTACTTTGACCTTTCGATATTCAGAATTGATTTATTTTTAGCTCCATCAGAAACTGAATTGCTTATGCTAATGAGGCAAATATTGTAAACAAGGATTCCCCTATAGCATCTGTATATTAGACTAGCTTTGCAATTCCAAGGTCGTGTGTAGAACTGGGAATAAATGGCGAAATATTTCAGATCACCTATCCATGGGTTGGGCCCGTACGCGTCCTTGAAAACCAGGAAAGTCCTGGAATTTTATTTTGACATTTTCCGGGACTGGGAAGTCCTGGAAAAAGACTGCAAGTCCTGAAAAGTCCTGGATAGCTGCTTAAATCAAGCAATAAAGTTTTCAGAATATGTGTTATAAGAAATCTATACAGGCCTTTTGGAGAATTGATTTTAAAATCTTTGGAATGAAAGGGTATAAGATGGAATTTGGAGTCCTGTAAAAATTAATGTGAGTCTTGGAAAAGTCCCGGAAATTTGTTTCTAAAGAAGAGTATCAACCATGCGTGTCGTTGCAATAAATATATCTTATTAACCAAGCGCGAGGGCCGTACTGGCAGAATATCGGCCCGAGGTCTTAACAGTACGGACCGAGCGCAGTGAGGTCTGTACAAAAAAGACCGAGGGCCGATATTCTTCCAGTACGGTCCCGAGCAAGCTTGGTTAATAAGAGATTTATTATACGACTGAAGTTCAAAGGGACACAAGTGCGGTATCATTCGGGACCATTCGGGACCATTCGAGACAGTGCCCGGTCCAATACTGAGAGACTATTGACCGGCAATAGAGCATTCTGATTGGTTGATTTTAGTTATTGGCCCTCTGACTGCCCGAGTCGTGTAATAAA